CTGAGGTAAAGCGTCGCGTATTTGGTAATGATCTCATGGAGAATTCGTTGTCCCGTCGAATTCAGATCAATCGACCTCGCTGGTAAGGACACGTATTGCGCATGTCCAGCTGTCATCTGTCGCACAGCACCTTATTCGCAGTTGCGGCTCCAGATTGGAAGGAACCGCCTGGAGATCAACAGATGGCATGGAAGCGAGGCATGAAGAAATGCACAGAGCGATTAGGTGGAATCGGTGTCTCCCGTCTTCCAGGTCGGGGCCCAAATGACTGCAACTGACTAGGTAGAAAGACCGAAGGATATGACAACTAACTGACAGCATTGGCGTTCTTGTTTTCATTTCTTATCAGGTCCGAATGCTTGAAAAGGTATGTATGCACACTTAGATTGTGTACTCTGTTTGTTGACCACAGAGGTTCACTTTCCTTGCCTCCCCAACCCTCTCTACCTTGTGCTTTATCACTTGATTTGTGTATACTGTAAGCCTGGCAGCGATCAGTGAAGTTCGCTTCACTGTATCTCGCTGTTCGATGATGGTGATGATGATCAGTTGGCTGAAAACGTAAATTTATATGATCATGTCGGACTAAGAAAGATGGGAGTTGAAATGAGTCACTTGAGCACATTGGACACTGGTTTAAGCGTGTAACTTTTTCTCTATAAATCGTCCGTTTTGCTAACGTTTTTTCTTTCTTTGGTACCCCGGTTAGCTCAATCGTTTTGCAATAGTTCAGAGTGAGTAGGTAACATAGTTTATTTTCGTCACTCCTTGGTAGCAGAAATGGGGAACAAAAAACAGAAAACGCCAATGATTAGAAACTAGGTACCAATTCGCAAATCCAATTTTTGTGTTATATATACCATAAAGTGCGTGTGCTAAATGCCCATGAATATAATGAGAATATGACGGAAAGTGAATAAATTTTATGATGAAAACCCTCAGTTCTGTTCCTTGCTCATAATTATTGTTCAACGTTATGGTATTGAGTGTTTAGGTCCGACTGTAAGAATTGGGGATAGTCTCAATAATCACAAAGCATAAAGATATTAGACTGAGAATTTATGTGTTCGTGTACGATGCCATATCCTCCAAGTTATTGTGTTCTACCTTACCGTGGTAGCTGAATGTTGATTATGCAAATACCGCAATTTTCTGTACGACTAGTTGACATCTGATGACTATGCATTTCTTTTGCAGCCGAACGGTGTGGAACGAAACATAGGCATCGGCAAGCTGAACGAATATGAAATTGAAATGCTGAAGATTGTTATCCCTGAACTGAAGAAAAATATCAAACGAGGGAAAGAGTTTGCCGCCACCTTCAAACCAACATGAGTAGCCTCGTCCATGTAATCTATAGACTCGGTGATTCTCTCCTCGCGTACGGTCAGGTCACTGGCGGTTTTCCTCTTACAAATCCGCCTATCTCTACGCACTCCAGTTTTGGTTTCCTGTTTTCTGTCATACCGATCTGTTTCTCTGCTACATCTTTCGTTTTAGACGTTTTTCCATCTTACCGCGTCAAGTAGGACTACGCATGCAAAATTATTTTGGTGTGTAGGCTTTTCTCCCACCTACGTGTTTTTTGTTTGTTCAATCATTTTGATGCGTTATCTTCCGTTTTCCGGTTCGGTTGCTTCCTCTATTTGTGTCAAACCAATAAACTGTTACATATTCAAAGCAAGTTTGTTCTTCTTCGGTGTGCACGTTGTCTTTCTTGTACTCGAATCACTTGCTTCCCGCGACTAAAGGTTCACGAAGGGACGGCCTCATGACGTAGTGTGTTGGCAAACCGGTCTTTGCACACAACAGATTCTCTAAAACCGAAAGTATTATCCTGCCCGGCAAACCGAAGAGGGAATGTCAGAAAATCCATTTTTCAGTTGATAAGGGAATATGATTCGGTGCCGTAATCGCCTCAGATTATCGAGCAGTCAGTTTCATCCACTGGCCTATGTTTAAGTTCTCGGAAATAGGGAATTTGGCCCAATTCACTTATGGTTATTCTTGTGTTTGCCTGAAAAGGTATCGTGAAACAGCGTGCTTGGTTTGTTCCAGGTAAATACTGCAAAAGTGAGGTCAATATAAGTGGAACACCGATGGTTTTAAGTTTTGTCCTTGTTTTTGAGGATTTATATATATATATTAACACCGGCTTGAGAACAAACATGGTGCAAATGCGAGACAACGATAATGTGACGGGGTACAGAATGATTAAATGAAAATGGGGAAAACAGAACAAATGAATGAATGATTTTTTTATACTTTCACCGTACTATTTTTGAAGATATTTTGTCTGTCATGGGGAACGGAGTTTCGTCAAACAAACCGCTCCACCGATATCTATTCTGAGCCATATCTCTCAGCGTCTCTAGCCATCGGCAATCCTCATCCTTTGGGCCCCAGCTTGGAAGGCGAACTGCACCAACCGAAGCCAATGCTGAGGCTAACTTCTTTTAGCGATCGAGAAAATTAGTCCGGTTTTATTATGGGAAATACTAACTAGCGGTACTTCACGCTGTGACTTCTGGTAAAAGAACAACCCGTAACCTTGGTCTAAAAATTTATTGAAAACTTCAGGTATCTGATTCGACCTAAAGTGAAAAAAGCATAGGTAAACAAAGCCAACGACTCAGCAACTCACTAATTGCATGTTATTATGCGATCGATAGCCGGACTGATTGTCTCATGGATGATTCGGTTGCCACTGGTAAAGGCATCTATGGGATTGACAGTTTCAGAGGTGAGTTTCCTATTGAAGAGGAAATATTGTTCGGGAGCTAATTGCCAACTGTGAGCGTATATCACATACTTTTGGTATGATGGAGGAATGTAGCTTACCTTCACTCACCAACAAATGTAAATGGATGTTCCGAAACAATAGGCCAGCGGAGTTTTCTATTGGAAAGAGCTTGATATCATTCATTAGGGATCAAGGTTTCAACTGTCAGTGGGAAGGTTGACCGATTCATCACACGTAAGATCAATGCCTGCGCCGGATAGGTCTGCAGTTTGCTAAGAACTGTCACAGGATTCAATGTTTGGCATTATGTTCACTCTTCATGTGCACACCACCTGGGTAAGGTCACTCGAAGTTTTTAATGGGTCATAGTTTTTCGGGTTTATTACACCGGAAATATGAGCATATTTGAAGGTGAACAAGAGCGTGTGCTCTACGTTTTTCAGCGAACGAATAGCATTGGTCCAATATCCTGTTGACTCAATCAAAGTGCTTTTGAATACAGTTCTTACATGATGTTTTATAAATGGCAATAATGTTGTCAAAGTAATGACAAACTGACAGCGTCCCCACAAAGTCCACCAGCCTAAACAGTTTCGAGAAATCAATAGGATGAAATATGACCAAAGAATTGAACCCATAAGATCAACTGTGAAGACTGCACGAATAAAGGTATTGGGCAGATCGACAATAATGCGTCAATGGGAATTCATCATCTTGTCAAATCTAATGCTCACAGCGGGGCAAATTTGCAGTTGGCCGCCTCAAGACTGTGGAGTCAAATGCACTTGACATTGTGGGAAACCATCAGGAAATAAACACTCAATAGGAATTGTTAATGATTTGGTAGAGATTTTTGTACAATTCGTCCTGAATACTTTCTCTTAACTTACAATCGCTCGAGCATGACACTAAAACTCTATCGTGTTAACTTGGCGTACGTGTTTTGGTGGGCTTAAGAGTAGTGTGGGTAGCCAATATGCAGGTGGACCACGATGAAGGTGTTGTACATCAGACAACACTAATGCTCAGTCTTTTACATGCAGAAAACCTAATGATCAACGTATACATAGCTATTTCATCGAGTGTAATTGATCCACTTTTTGAATAACAGCAAGTATACCAGGGAAGACGACAAGAGAGCATTCGGTCCAGTGACAGTTAATTTGAGAAGATTGTTAAGGGGCATAAATTGTGCACTCATGTTGCGTCAGTTGTAGTTACGCCATACAGATAGTGGATCAACATTCCCGGTTGTGCCTGACGTGCAACGAGCTTTTGATCGGGCGGCTCTTTTCACTTTCATCCCCTTTAAAGGAGTGTCACAGACGTATGTTTACTCATTCATTTCACTGTACACATATGCTTCTGGTCGCCTAAAAGTCTACAAAAGCCGGACAGAGCGTTCCAAACCCGCTGCCCTGTTCTCCACGGGTGCTCTACTTAGTGATCCTTGTTCGACTTTGTCGTAGACGAAATGTTGGAGAACGCACCAAGTACCCTCCAAAGTATCTATTTTGAATGGGTAGCTGCAGAAAAGCTAGGAGTTCGCTAATGATATCATCTCCCTTTTCGAATGTATCGTGTAGGTGAAAAGTACAATACAAAATAAAAAGTTCCGTTGCAGCATCCGGTTGGTGTTTTTTACCTTACAAATTCAAAGTGATGCTGTTGGAATGCATATCGACCACCACTGCTTTGAAACTAAATACTTTGGATTTGGTTACTGTAGATCGCTCTTCCTATCTGGGCAGTTGTGCGACAAATGACAGCACAGTCAAGGTGTCCGCATGAACATGGTTCGAGCGGCGTACGCAGGACTGAAGCACCTTGGGCGTCCACGTGAAATTTCACTGAATTCGAAGGATCGCGTGTATTAAGTCCACCGGACCATCAGTTATGCCTTAAGGTTGTGAGACCTTGGGTTTGCGTAGTTTGGTGCATGTGAGATGTAGCGAGTGTGGAGAGGAGAGTGGAAATGAACAGCGCGATCAGGTTGTGTAGGTGTCTCACTTTGTCAGAGTGGGATCTAAAAGACTACATAACGGTTCGGCTGGAGACACGGAAGGATATGACAGCAGTGTCTGTCTTGCTGTCATTGCTTATCAGGACAGAATACTTGAAGAGGTGTGTAAGCAACGTTGGACTGTTTCGCGTTTTGGTTATAGAGGTCTACGTTATTTTTCATTCCATCAAAACATGCCCCATCCGTTTTACACATTCCAACTTGCTGGTTGTTTATTTGGGGTTTGACAGCCATCAGCGATCACTTCGTGATATTTCGCCATAGGATAATAGTAATAATAAGGATGGCGCTTTAATATACTTCGATTAGGGGTTGCTTAAAAGATCGTTTTACCAACAGTGGTAGTTTCCGGAACATCATTCTACTATTTATGGTCATTTGCAAGAGAAATGTCATGACATTCAAAATACGAAACTCGTTCGCTAGTAAAGACATTCCACAAGATCACAGGGATTCTCGGATGAAGAAAAACAGGACATACACTTATCACCAGAACAACACGTTTTTTGGATTGGCGAACGATCTGAGAAACTTGGACTACAATTCTTGTAGATGAAGTGTGCCGTTGTGATGAATGTTGCTGGTGCTAATGGGATATAAATGATGAGTAGATAGCAATATCCCCAGCCTACCTGGAAGTGAACGTTGATCTACGGTAAGAGGATAGCAGCTTGTAGTTGTTTACTTTGCATTGTCTGCTCAAGTCTTATAGTCATACCGATAGATGTATTGCAGGTGGTCGATCGATAGGTGTACAACTGAGGATAAACGCCACGGCGCTTCAGAATATAAACGAGTTAGGTTTTGTCTTGGGGATCGAAGATATTTCTACAATTGACGAACAAACTCGAGTAATGATTTTGTCAACGGCGGAAACAACAGAATAAACGATACATGTCACAACACCTGTGATAGAACATTGTCTTCAATATGCTAATTGGTTTTCATCAGAAGGTGGGATTTAGTACAGTACATAAAACTTCCCAATTAGGATTGACGTGGAGGCAAGGAAACAAAACTTTGTTTGTTTGATACAGACGTTACAGGAAAATGATCGTGTTGTCGCTCCTCTCACATCACTGTTGTCTAGGAGGACAGAGATTCTACTTGCGATCAGCGGGGTTCATCGCTGGAGTGCAGAAAAAATCAATATTTCGATTTTCGGGCTATTTGGAACAGGGTGCTGTGATCGTACAGCAGATGACTGTTTAATACTATTTGGAGTCAAACATCCACCGCACTCAGTTCGACTGTAAAACAAGTCTCGATGGAATAGACGAATGGTCTATCATTCATTAGGTTCTCGAACGGTATTGCGCGTCTACTGGAGAAAAGTTGCTGGTTTTCTGGACCTGAAAAATACTGTCTCAAGTGACCCCGAAGTCCTAGTTAACTCTATTTGAGAGCGGTTATCTTTGGTTGTCTTGTTAGCTCTCACCAGTGAAATAAGAAACTATTGAATGTTTCTTTCTAAACTTGTAGTCTCAATTCACAATTTCTATCGGATTGTGGCTCACGAGCTGAAAACCGAACACAGTCGATCGTAGTTCAGTTGCACCTTGCTGGACT